TACAACAACAGTTTAAAACTATTGCCTAATACGAGCGTCATTCTTTTGATGGTAAACAAATTGGAATGATGTGATGTAACATCAGAGCGCATATGTTTATTTAGGCCATAAATCAATTATTTTTAATATTTAATGTGATTGAATTTCATAGTTATTGAAAACAAATTAATTTACTTGAAGAATACGTAAGTGACAAAGTGAATATACCATGTGCCGTTCATATATTTTATCTACTTATTATTTTTATGTTTTTAACTGTGTTGCTTTTTTTGTATGTTTTGATATATAAAGAATAATAAAAACTAAGAAACAAAAAATTCTAAAACTTTTTATTAAGGTAGTGTTATGTGCACGATGGTGACGTGATGGTGATGTCATGCTCATATTTTTTTTTTTAGGAAGCAACTTGAAAAAGATTTTCAAAAAAAGTCAATAAAATATTTGTATTATATGGACATACTCATATACATACATATATACAAATGTATAACACACGTGATGTGATTTATTTCCGGTGTTAAACATTATCATGCGATGTGATACGTAAAAATTTCAGAGTGCTTTTCATTAAAAAAAACATATATACATATGTTTTTAATATCTTAAACCGTTACCGATTCGAAGTCATATGAACAGAGTAGTGATATTTATACCTGATCACATGTTATCAAGTGACGGGATGTAAAATGCTGTGGTAGTAACATTTTTAGCGCATCATACACTAATGTGACGTGATGTAAATTAATGTGTAAATGGTAATACATAAAAATACATACATATGTGCACATACATATATGTATATGTTTTTTTTTTTTTGTTTTGAAAAGTTTCTTTGCACACATAGTCATATGTATACATATGTGTATATATTTATGTATGTATGTATACGCACGTATGTTCATGTATGTATGTGTATGTATTAGTATGTCTGCATCTGCATACAAAAATGTCCGTTGTATGAATATGATATCGCTGCCCTAACTTTTTTGTGCGATAAACAGGTGATATGACGTGACATCAACTCGTGTGATGATCTGCTTATCACTTTCAAAGCTAAGAGTGGAATTCATTTATGTCGTGCAAAGAGCACAATGTGACAGAGAAATGCAATTGGCTTCACTATGAAACTAAGAGTGTAGGGAACAGCAAACTAATCACTAAGGGTAAATAGCCACAAAAGTAAACACTAAAATCTTACCCTCTACGTCTGCTGATAGCGTCGCATTTTATTATTCATGCTGCCCACTGCTCCTCTCAGCTATTCAACACACTTTCAACCATTACTAAAGTCCCAACGTGGTGGAATTCCATCTATAGTATTTAGTTGAGTGGCTATCACAAAGAAACCCCAGCAAAACGAAGGTGCAAAGTAAATATAAGTACAAAGTAAGTGTGTAAAATGAGAGAATAAACGATAAATAAGTTGCGAAAGATAGAGAGAAAGAGAGCAGATTGGCGCAAAGGTGTTGTGAACAACAAAGAGCTTGCGAATCGTTTTGGAATACATTGAAGAAGAAACAGAGATAAACAGAGCAACTGGGGAGACGTATAAAAAATGCAATTTTGTCTCTGCAGAGATGTTAAACACTCAATTATGATGTTGGTGTTGGTGAGTGGACCGACCGAACTCGTGTTGGAAACAAAAAATAAACAATTGTTGACTTAACTGCCACTGCTGCTATGACCAACAGTCGGCTGCATGAAACAACAACAACAAGAACAACAATAAAAACACAGCCTACAATCATTCAGCACACAAAAAGTCAAGGGTGTGCGTTGTTGTTTTAATGAATGTATGTAAATATGCATGTGCGTATATATTTTTATTTATGACTTCTGTGTATAGGTGAGTTAATGAGTGAGTGTGGTGAGCGAGCGAGTCATCGGTGAGTGTGGTGAATATGGGTATTATCGGCAAAACAGCGTTTGCGCTCCACTGTGTTCTGCTGTTCTGCTGTTCTGCTGCTCTACTGTTTTGCTTTGCCATTTGCTCTGTGCTATATCTTTTGCTGTTGTCTGGTTGGAATCGTTTTCATTGATTTCAGTATTTGTTTGGACTTCAACGCTAACGGTGTATAATACGGTCAATATACGGACATATATTACAAACGTCAGCATAGAGGCAGAGGCGAATACAATACACCGCTTTTCCAACAATAGCGAAAGAAAAGAAAATACAATAAGAAAAAGAAAACATAGAAAACTCTTCGAACTATTCAGAGTGCTACAAAAATTCTTATATACATATGTACATACATATGTAGAAGTGTACGAAACGTACATACAAAAGAGAGAAGTGAAAGAAAACATCAAATAGTCTTTTGATGAATTTTAAGTGTTGCTTAAAGCAAAAATAAATTTAATAAAAATATATTGTTAATATACATATATTTTCGAATATATTAAACTTAAAAAAGTAGCTGAGAATAAGAAAAAAAAATTTTTAATTACTAAGTACCTACAACTTTTCAAAAAAAAAAAAAAAAAATTAAATGGAATATATGTATGTAAAAAAAATAAAATAAATATAAAAATATATACTAACTAGAAAAATATTAAGTGTGGAAAAATTGGTATTGGAAAAAAGTGAGAACGCGTGCTCGCAACCGGTGCCGTTTTTATTGTAATTATTTGGCGTTTTCCATAGTTTCTTCTCTTATAAACGCGCTGGAGTATTTCGGTGACGCGACGGGACTTCTTAACGCGTATTTTTTCGAACTTGCGGGCAAGTGAATGCATTTGAATTGAAGTAAATGCTAACAAAAAAAAAAAACAATTAAGTGCTGTAAATCTTGAAGGCAAATCAAAAAAAAAATCGTAAGAAAATAAATAACAAGTGCAATTTTAAAACAACTTCAAAGTTGTTGAAATTATTAAATTTAAATTTTTTTACAATTTTTGCACAAAAGTGCAACAGTGGCTAGTGTGTGTGTGTGTATGCATGCATGCAGGCGTGCGCCAACTCATATATGTGTGTTTGTGTGTCCAATTAGCTAGAATGTAGCTAGAGGAGCGCGTGGGAAAAGTGCATTTCCGCTGTTAAGTGCGGAGAAAAGCAAACAAGAAAAAGGCTTTGGTATGCAAAATTCATTGTGAGAAACTTTTGGTATAAACACAGTTAAAAAGTGGAAATTTGTGTGAAATTTAACAAAAAAAAAAAATATTTTAATTGCTAAAAATAAAAAATTTTAATTGATAAATATTAAATGGATATATATTTTAATTAGATAAAACTAAACACAAAAAAATTTCTAAAAAATATGTTTTATTGGCTTGAAATTCAAAAAGAAATACATTTTTGAAAGGATTTAAAAAAATGGTTTTAAAAAATAATTGATTGAAAATATAAATATAAGCAATTTGAAACTTAACATATTTAAAATTAGTAAATTAAAATAATAAATATAATAAATAATAAAATAAATAAATAATAAATTGGAAATTAATAAATTTAAAATAAAAGTTTGTAAATCATTTTATGATAAAATTAAAGAAATTACAAATTAAATAAATTTGAAGAAAATATATTCTAAGTGCTCATAATGATATAAAAATAATAATTAAATAAAAATGTAAAGGCTACAAAAAATGTTGAAAATACTTTGAAATTTGCAATGCACAATTTGGATTGCGAAACTTCCAAAAAAACCTTAAGAAAAAACTGTATAGCATAATTAATCAACGAAAAAAAAGAAAACACTTAAGGTAAACAACAACAAAATAAAAGCAAATAAACATTAAAAGAAGGAATAACGCTAAAGAGGCAGAAACTTGCGTCTGGAAGAGAAAGAACCACCCGAAAGCAGGAGTGAGCTGAAAATACCGACAAGTGGTGGTAAACAATAGTAAAAGCGGCAGAAAACTGAGCAAAATATGTGCAAAACAAGGTTTTTGGCATAAACCAACACTTTTATAAACGAATTAAACAGCAACAATAAGCAAGTAAAACACAACAAACAGCCACATCACGTACTCGCCTTGACTTTTCTCTTCTTGTCTACGCCAGCCAGTAGTGGACAAGTAGAAATCGCTTGGTAGTGCCTACATATATCTGCACTTCCCAAACCAAATACGCCATCAACTTTTCAGCTACATACCTACTTATCAGCATTTTCGTCGACGTCAGTAACTTATGTAGATACATATAAACGTTATCTGATAGCAACAGCAGCATCGGATATTCAACCACCCACTCTCACTTGTCCCAGCTGTCGGCATACTTGGCATATCCCGAAGGTGCGTCTGGCATTTTAGCAATTTCTTCGCATTTTTTACGCTCACTTATCATCGACATAACTGCTGCTGTGTAACTGTCTGCTCAAGGTCTGCGCAAAAAGCACACATCTGTGAGTATGTAATAAAGACAAAAACATAAAAACGAAAAAAAAGAGAAAAATAATACCAAACGTCTTAAGAAACTCAAGGAATCTTCACATAAAAAAAATAAGCAAAAAACAAAACTACGGAACAGTGTAGAGCTGTCTGGCGCAGTAAAGCCGCAGCAGCAGCAGCAGCAATAATTGGTGGAGAAAGTTGGAGGTTTTATTTATTAGTGCAAACAACAAGAAACCCAAATCAGACACAAGCACAGAGAAGGTATAAAAATTATAAAAAAAGAACATAGTTCTTGCGCTCGATAGCGTCTGCAAATACACGTTTAACTGCGACGTCTCCCAGCGGATTCATTGGTATGCGTATACATAATTGCGGCAGACAGACATACAACAACAAAGAAGCAACATTTAGAAATTGTACAAAGTAAAGATAAAGAAAAAGAATAGAGGTTTCATATACATTTGTATATGGTAAAAGATTTACAAATAACCGCGCGTGAGTAAATAAAAGTTAGCGAAGAATGCGTAAGAAATGCAGTTAGAATTTGAAAATAATGTTTACGTTAAAATTGCAAAAAACGCGTAAAGAGCGCATATAAAAAGAGTATTAAAGAAAGCTTTGAAAAATTATTAAAAAATTAAAATTAAACTCAATTTTGAGCCATACTTAAATTGTATTTGTAATTACAGCAAATCACTTTTAAAAGTCAAATTTTAAGGGTAAAAAGAAAAAATCGTAGAAACAATGCCTTTCGTCGAAAATAATACTAAACCTGCAAGCTACTGAGCATACCTCTTTACCTGCACAAGAAGAAAAAACATAGAAGAAAAAAAAACAACTAACCAAAAAAAAAAAAAAAAAAAAAATGCAAAAAAATGGCCTTAATATAACTTTTTCGAAACGCATTTATTTGGAAGAAATATCAATTTTTTTCACACCCGCACAAAAATAACCTGCTCGCTCTACCTTAAATAACCTTATACTTATTAGAAAAATAAAAAAACATCCCTAAATACAAACAAATACACAAAGGAGTACCAGTCAACCAACCAATCAACTACCTATACACGCCTACGAAAACTAGGCGAAAAAACGGAACATAAATGGATTTATATTGCTATCAACCAACGCCACCTGCCTCACTCATGGATTATCCCGTTGGACCGCATCAACTGCAAAACGGTGGCAACACCAATATCGGCGTTGGCGGCATGACCAATAATACAAATCTATATTTCAATAATATTTATACGAATGGCGGCAGCAACAACGGCAACAATAATAATAATAATAATAACAATAATAATAGCAGTAATCATTATAATCATCATAGTAACAGTGATAGCTCATCGGTGACGACGACAACAACGACAGCGACGAATTTTGGTGATTGCATTGGTTTGGAGCGAGCATTCGATTTCTACAGTGATAGAGGTGAATATATATACACACATACACACATTTACAATACTATATTTAATGTATTTTTGTGAAAGTTTTTATTTTATTTTTTATATTTTTCGGCAAACAAAATATTGTTGGTGCATTTTTAAGCCAAAAAAAAAAAACAAAATTTATGGAACTTGTATGAAAATGTATAGAAACAATAGAAAAATGGAAAACAAACGAAATGCTTTTTCAATGTAAAAGTATAATGAAAAATATTTGATTGCTTGTAGTTAACGGTATTGTATTAAGATGCAGTGTTTAATTGCTGTTGAAAGATTTGCAATTGCCAACACAATGGCAATCAGTTTAACTGTATTTTAACCAATTTTTGATACGTGGTTGAAGAGTCCTAACGGTCAGAAATTTTATAAAAATATGAACTTCCATTAGCTTTTGCTTATACCATATTATACCTTAAAGAATTTCACATACCCGAAGAGAGCGACTATTTGATATAGTTTGGGCTAAACTCAAAGTTAAATAAATTTGCGGCTTTGCAAAACTAAAAATGTTAATTTTGTGAGATTAATTAATATTGAGGTCCATTTCGAAGACAAATATTTTAACTTCTTCATTTGAATTCGGAAGCGTGAATATACCAACACTTGCGTTTCACTGAATACAATGAAAGCATTTCGTTTGTTTTTTTTTTTTTTAAATTTTGATTCTATTATTTTAATATTTTTTTATTTCAAAATTCATTTTTCATTATTCGGATTATAATATATTAGTTTTTTGCATTTATTAGATTTTGTATATTTTATGACTTTCTTCTTCTTCAAAGTTTTCTAATTAATTAGTAATTCTTAATTTAAACGGTTTACTTTAATCATTACTTTGCATTTTAGTGTGCACAAATATAAAAATATTTTAAAATTAAATATTTTACTTTAAATGAATAATTTTTTCTTTGTATTTTGTAATTAGTGTTATTGGTTACTTTTCCATTTTTTACTTGTACTATTTCACCATCATTAATTTAAAATCAGCTGTCAGCATTTTTGGTTATTCATTAATTGTTTAGTTGAATTCTGAAAATAATGTTGAAATTCAATGCTTAAAATTTAATCGCACAAATTATTATATCGCCAATCAGACAGGCAACCAGTTTTTAATGTCTTTTAAATTAGTTGAGTCAAGTTTTTGTTTGGTTATTTTTTTGTTTCTTAAATTACGAAATATACATTTCGCTAGTCACAAATTATCTTCTCTGAACGAAGTGCAAATTTTTTTTATCCGTTTCACGCTTAATTTTTTGTGTACTCGTATGGGCTTCATATTCTTGAATGCATATACGAGCGCTTAAATATATTTATCATTTTTATTATTTTTATTAAAATATAATAGAATATAATATAATATAATATAATATAATATAATATAATATATATNTAAAGTAAAATAAAATATAATATAATATAATATAATGTAATATAACATAATATAACATAATATAATATAATATTATATAATATAATATAAAAAAATAAATAACATTAAATAAAAAAGTTTTAAAGTATTAAATAAAAACTAAAAATTAGAAATTTAACCAATTCCTTAAAATTTCTCTATTTACTGTACTTTTGTAAAGCTTTAAGGATAACTTGTGTGCTCTACAACACCTTTTTTTGGTCGTCGTGAGCAAATAATAAATAGTATAATTTCTTTATATATTTGTACGCTTATTTTGTGAAGTGTTTGCTTCTTGTTGGCAACTTTAATTAGCCAACATATTAGTGTTGAGCCTCAAGCAATCACTTAGCTACTACCGCTAGTTGGTAGCGACGCTCTTTGAAGCAAAACAGAAATAATAAATAAGCAACTTCGTTTTAGACTTAGAGCTGTAGCTCTTCAGCTTATTATTTCTTTATGTTCGTTTACCTACATTTTCCACTGCTTATTTGTTTGTAATAATATTTTTTTTTTGACTTCCTTTGCTTCCTCCTTTTTTTTTACCAAATTCTACTACACTGAATTACCCTTCACCCAAATTTTACTTTGCTTGTAACTATTTGATTTCATCCGTAATTTTGCTAGGGGTTTTTGATACATTTATTTCCTTGTTAGTATTTTTGTTGTAAACATTGTTTTGGGTCACTAAACTATGCGCGTTTAGCACCACTCTTTACCAATTTTTCGTTTCTTTAATACTTACTTACTGATTTTCGGCTTCAAAAATGTCGACGCCAACAACTGCTAGTGGTCATTACATTTCTTTTTGTCGTATAGCAGAAGCAAATAATCAATATTCGTTGCAGCGAAGGTAAAAGGTGAATTTTTTGCTTATAATTTTTGGTTCTACATAAGAGATGTCGAATTTTTTAGCTGCTTCACGCATTTGGACCTCATTTACGTGTCTTGTTTTAAACCCAACCAATTTTATTTCCATTTCTTGAAATCCGAAAATTTTTAATCACTTTTTTGGGCACTTTGTCACTTCGTACAAAATGCCGCAATCAATTACCGCCACCAATGCAGACACATTTTAATTACTTACATTATTTGATCGCATCTTCGTCTCGCTTACAAGTTTTTGCAAAATTAATTTGCATTTTTCTTGTTGGCTTGCAAGTAATCTTCCATAATTCCTTCTAATTTGTCTTGTCACTGAGAGTAGGCTCAATCACTCTCTCTCTATCTCTCTCTCTCTCTCTCTCTTCGTCCTTGATTATTGCTCAGGGACAGAGTGCCATCTTTTTTTTTTTGTTTTTGGTTTCATTACTCCCACGCAGTGAGGTTTAACAGAATTTTCTACTTTTCCACACTTTTACTGGAAAAAATGCTTTAATTCTTTGCGTAAATAAAATTATACTCAATTTTGAAGCCCGTATTTTATTCAAGCTTCTATTTGCGCGCTTGTGAGCTAATGATTTTTGGGAATAAGCCACTACAAAGACACGAGGGAGATGCTATCTTTCGCTGTTGGCGCCGTACGAAATGCCAAAATGTCGTTGCGTTTTTCCTAATTTATTTTTTCCATTTTTTTTATTTACTTTAATCATTACTTTTATTGCAGATTCAACGCTGTACGCCTCACTACATTTCCTTCGCCGCTTTGAGTCGTGGCTGCTTTCGCTTGGTTGTTGTTTTATTTGGTGTCGTCGTTGCTACATTTTAATTATAATTAATGAATTCGTTGTGGCGAAAGAGTTGGTTTGGTTAGGGTGGTTGGTTGGTTGGTAAGGGTCCAACATTGGCCTAACGCTCTTTCACATGTTCCTTTTGTGCGCATTACCTTCGTTCTTCTTGGCTTTGGCTTTCTTCTACTAATCGCGCCCAACCACCAACAGCTTTGTTTGACGTTTGATGTTTGCTTTTCGTGTTTGGGCTTTTGTGGCATATTTGCCTTGATTTACAACAGCTCGCGCAATAGAAAGGCGCGTTATCGGCGAAACCGATTCCCTGGCTGTTATATGTACGTTTGTATATGTATGTGTGTTTAACAGTGAACATTTAAAAAATGGTTGCTTATACGCAGTGTTGTCGCGGCGTCGTCTGGCAAGTCGTTTCCTATTAACCACTTTTCGTTCTTCGTTGGCCTTCATTACATTGCTCGGTGTTAGTTACTTACAAGGACTTGTTGTGTTTCAAACTTGTATTCTCTAGTGGCTGCTCATTTGCCTGCCCGCCTGCCAGCCTTACTCTTCGGCCTCTTATTACTGCGCGCTCATACTCTTCCGTTGGCGCTGTTAATGACACCTCTTCGCTGCCACTTTTATTGCTTTTTACAACACTCAATCGTAGTCTCATCGGGTGTGGGGTGGGCGCTTATTTTTTTTATAACTTTTCTCTTTTTACTTTATTCGCTATCTTCCGCCCTTTATCATTATCAATAACTTTGTTAAATACAAAAGCCTTAATCGTTTTAAAAGTGTAAACCTAAGTCAATAAGTCTATAAAGTTTTACAACAAATTTTTTATGCAAAAAAACTTTTTTTGCTTCTACAAACTTTGCTATAGATTGCCGTTGCAAATTAGTGCAAATCGCCTAAAAGAAATCTTGTAAAAGAGATATGGGGAAATATTTTCTATTCTTTTTAATTTGTTAATTTGTCGTAGAGATGTTAAGGAATTTCAGGTTAGGTCGCGCTGTAAAGAAAACTGATACTGTCGATTTTCATTACTTTTTTCTTTGTAATATTATTTTTAATATTTATATTATATTTATTTACTTCAAACACTTTTTTGAGGTTAGATTTATATCATATAAGCAAATTATGATGTTTTTTTTTTTTATCAAATTCTCTTTTTGATATACTTTTTGGACATAATTGCAACGTCATAAATTTAAAATACTAAAGTTCCGAGCGCCGTTTATTCTTAAAGCACATTCAATTTTTTTATTGCAATCCCTCCAATTTATTTACTTTTAAATTTTATTTATAGTATGAAATAATATCGTACATATACAATATAAAAAAAAAAACAAATCTCTTTTCAAAAAGGCATAAAAACCTATTTATTTTATAAAATAACAACGCAAAACACTACTCTTCTTTTTCTGAAACCCTCCAAAAATGCCACCAATAACACCACAAAACTCCTATAATTCGTTGAGTTAGTTTTGAGAAAAGCTCTAGGAATTAAACTCCTCAGCACTCGTTAGCTACCGCAGCGCATAAAACATTTCACGCAATTTTTTAGTTCCTTTTTTATACTATTCCATATGCGCATAACTTTTCTATACTGTTTTTTTTTACATTTTCTAAAACTTTCTGTCACTGACTTCTTTTTCCTATTTTTTTATTTTATTTTTTCATTTTATTTTTTATTCTTTGTGGTGTGTGCTCATAAATTGTCATGAGAAAATTTGCATATTTGCCACTGTCACTATGACAGCTGTGTAAAATGGTATATTTACATACCAAAACACTCATGCATATGTACATACGTATGTATGTATATACTGCATAAATATTTGCCTATTATATTAAGCAACGATTTGGCTGCTTTTCACATTGCGAATATACATAAATTGTTATTTT